TGTGGGCCTTAGAGAAATAGAACAACCCTAATGCCGAGACTATAGGGGGCATAGATACAAGTGACAAGTTGCAGATAACATTGCTTCCCAGTTTTTGAATGTGTCAGTAAGTAAAACAGTGACGTCTAAGCAGATTATTAGTGTAATTATTTTTTAGCTTAAAAAAAAAATAACGTTCTGAATGATAAGCAAATAAACAGACAAAAATGTGTGTAAAATATTTATTGTTGACTCAAAAGCTTCATGGTAGGCAGGAAACTCAATGGTATTATAGTACCAGTCCCCTTGATTGCTTGGTTTTCCTTTACAGAATTTTAAGTAGGGGCCACCCAGTCTCTACTTAAATACTTCTGTTGATGGAAAGTATATGAGCTTCCAAATCAGTCCAGTTGGTCTTTTAATGAAAATTCATGTTGAGATACTATTAAGATTTCTCAGACACAAATATGAATGCTTGTGTAGGTTTTGGGACCATCACTTCTCTACCATTTATAGTCTAATGGCAGATTTTAAACCTGCTGCAGGTCTTATTATCATGCTTCAGAAAAGATTTTTAGAAAAATAAATAGACGGGCCTGAAGTTCTGAGATTTTCCTTAATGGTATTGTTGCTATAGTTACAGCTGAAATGTTATATAAAGAAAATTACTTATTGATCGAAAAATGCTGAGTAGCACAGCAGCATCCGTTTTGGGGGGTTTTTACTGCCTTCATTTCCTACTCTGCTCTTAAGATTAATGGATTTTTGGAGTGTTGTTTTGAAGCCCTGGTGATTTGATGTTAAAATAAATACATTATTAACGTGTACTAGCTGGCAACTGGATATATTCTAATACGTTATGATCAACATGGAGTTATTTTTTATACACTTTATCAGAATTGTTCCTACTTGGAGATGAATTTTGATATCCTGGATATTAACATTAAAGTACTAAAAAATGTGATTGGTCTCATAGTATAGACTCTTCTGAATTTATTTAAAACATTTAATAATAATATAGATGAAATGTAAACTTTTAATATGTTTATACCATTAGGAGATATTTACAGTATACTGAGAATAAAATATATTTTAAAACACAGAAAAACAAATGGAAATGGCCTGAGAGCATCCATAATAATGACTAGTATGTTTTTAAAAAAGCCTCCATAAGATCTGTGTTTTCTATTTTTCTATGTAATAAACTCAGTAATATAATAGAAATGCCTTCAGTTTATATATGTAATATACAGTACATTATATATAATATATATTCATTTTCTGATTGTCTCACTGTCTTTATAAGGCAATGCTTCAAAGATAAAACTGTAACTCACTTTATATTTAACCTTAAGGCAAAATATGAATAGTCATGTGTGTCACAACTGTAACTATTATAGAAAGAGTTTTCAGCTAGTAAAAGTCATATATGGCAGTGATATATTATGCATTGAATTTTAATAGAATTTAAGAAATCTTGCTTAATTCTCCAGATTGCTGCTGAACTAGGAGCATTATGACTATTTAATAATGTTCTGTCTAATAGTATCGTGGCTATTGAGGAACTAAGAGTGGAGATACATTTCTTTGGACCCATAAATATAATACTTCTTAAGTTAGGCTCCTGAACAGTGATACAAAAATCTTTGGGATTATTTTTGATAAAAAAGGCAAAAAAAATTGTGAACCACAGGTTTTTACATCATCTTATGTGGTTATAGAGTATTTCCCAAATTGTCTTTTGTGAAGAAAATTTTTCTAGTAATTGTGTCTATAATTAATGATGATGTGATAATGGTGATGGCCTATATTGTCCTGAATGAACTTTCTTGAAAATTCATTTTTACTTTCTCCACTTTGTCAAAATTTGATCAATTTTACTTTTCTCCTTCCTACTTTGGATTTTACCCTAGCCTCTGCCTTTTCTTGTCTTTTCTCTTAATAAACAAAATTTAATTTTATATGTTTAAAGAAATACAAAATTTTGATGCTACTATAGTGTTTTTTCCCTTTCAGTCCTTTTTGATTTTATAATTTCCTCTACTTGCTGAATTTGTTGGTGGTCTAATTTTGGTTCTAGGGCTGCAGAAAGAAGAGACACACATATGAGACCACCAATTCAGTATTTCTAATTGGTGAAAAAATACTCTTGTGTGCTTTACAATTTATCAAATTCCTTATGTTCTAAATGGATTCATCAGATAATCCTTTTAAATCCATTGCATCTTCCTTAATTTTTCCCCTGCATATTATACTTATTTTTAACCCATGTCATCTTTCTTCTACTCGAGTATGAGTTCCTGATCAAATAAGCCTTGCACGTATAATTTCCCAAGAGTATATGTAATCCATAGCTATAAATAGACTAGAGATATACAGAATAGATGCATAAGTGAATGCTGTTATAATTATTTGACATGATGGTAACATCAGTTTCCAAATTAATTTTGGTGACAAAGTGTAAAGTCAAAAAAAAATTAAGCTTGGTCTTATAATCTTCTTCAAAACACAAATCAGTCATGTAACCAAGTGACCACGTGTAGCAACATCATGTTAAAAATAATTACAGGATAGTACTGACTAAAGAGAATAGGTTTAGGGAATTCCCTGGCAGTCCAGTGGTTAGGACTCCTCGCTTTCACTGACAGGGCCCTGGGTTCCATCTCTCGTTGGGGAACTAAGATCACACAAGCTGCAGGGCGTGGCCAAAAAAAAAAAAGATACTACGTTTAACTGAATCAGGATGCAAATTTAAGCAAAACACGAATTTGAACTAGCCAATGAGGCTCTCAACGTAAGGTCCTTTTTCTCTTAGACTGACGCTATTGCCTTCTGTTTGCTTTTAGTAGTGAGTGGGTTATCACTGCTTGTAGGTTTATCAAGCATTATTTTAAATCAGGAAAATGGAGCATTTTATGTGACATAGTAGATTAAATAGAGTATACTCTTTATCCTCTTACCTAAATTTTCAAATGTATGAAAATAATGAGTATACTACCTTGAAATAATCACTACATTTATTTTCTCAACACATTTTCCTTTTAACAAGAGCTGTGTACCATTGTGGCATCATATGCTATAAGTAGCAAGAGGCGACACCTTTTAAGTATAATTTGTCCCTAAAACTCAGATAAAGTAATCACATTTTTATAATTGACAAGAATTTCCAGTGGGATGAAACCTTTATTTCTGGTATATTAAAAACTTCCTAACTTATTTACATTCAGACCTGCCCTGACAGGAATGCATAGCACACATCTGCATTTGGTTTTTAGAGTCCATGTGACAAAACAGCACAATGACACAGCTATTTGTGTCTGTTTTTGTTTTTTAAAATGTCAGTCTCTGAATGAAAATATCCTAAGATGTGGCCCCACCAAGTAATGTTTTTTAAAACCACAGGACAGGTTAAGATTGATTTTCTGTAGGTATTATGGAAGTACCTCCTCTAGGGACTATTCAGCACAAGGGCTGGAGCTTTTAGAATTTGACTTAGGGATCAAATCAGTTTCTTTCCCAAGACTCTGTATAAAGTTACTATATAGAGAAGCCACAGTTCACTTTTTTGCTGCTTAGACATGAAATCAAGAACAGAATTGGTATTGGATGATCATAACACAAAAAGCAAATGAACCCGTAATACATACTAATGTTTTATAGACAACATTTTACTGAAATTAAATAACTGACTTGGATCTTTACTCTTTTAGATCACCAAGTAAGAATTATAACAGCTTACAGATTGCAAAACAGTCATTAGTATTAAGCAACATTTTTTATGTCTTTAAAGAAATGGAAAGCTGAAGTAAGAAATGAATCTCAGATGGTCAATAATATTCTAGAACAATAAATGATTTTTGTCTCTAAATAATTAAAGTTGTGGTACTGGAAAGAATGATCCAATATGAAAAGCAGTTTGAAATTGAACTTCTCAGAAGACAATACAACATACAAACACGATATTATTTGCATGACTCTCCACCTATGCGCTTTAGAGAATAGGTACTCATTAAATGGTAACAATTAGAAGCTACATGTATAGTCTTTATTTCTTACATTTTAATAGGTATGATGTAAGAAAAAGCACAACGTACAACAATAAGGGGGGAATTCTGCAATATTACTGGTCTAACAATCTCTCTCCCATGTGATTATTTATATGTATTATGAGAGGGTTGTTCTCAGTCTTTAGTTTGCAAAAAAATTAACCAACAGGTTATTAAAAAGGCAGATCCTCCTTCTCCTATCCCAGGATTCTGATAAACTTGTTTTGGTGTAGCTCCTAGAATTTGCATGTCTAGGGACAACCGCAGGTGATTTGGTGCAGGTGGCCCATAGATTACACTTAGAGGTATAAGGAAGTGTTTTAATTAGCAATTGAGAAAACTTTGGGGAAAAAGAGTATCAGACAATTTTAACCTGTGAATGCTTCTTGACACAATTGCATGAGAAATGTGACTTATTAAGAATGGCATTATTTTTTAATCTTAATTAGATGGAGAATTATGCACAAGTGATTCTTGAAAACTCTACGTGTGCCTTGTAAAAGTTCTGCTCTGGTGGATAGAACTACATTTGATCCAAGTCAAGAGACAGGAGATTATAGGCTAAGTCCTAAAAAAAACTTACGATTAACTGGCTGTTAAAATTACTATGAAATTTAATAGTTTTTGAATGGAAACACAATTTTGAAGGCACGAGGCTTAAAAATAGTTGTATTTGGAACAAATTCAGATTTTTTTTAACCAAAAAATTGATATTCCCCTGGGTCTATCTTTGATGCTTTTTTTTTTTTTATGGTGAGGTGAGTTAATTGCTGATCTCTAAGGACTCCTGTTTTTAGATTTCAAAGTCTTTTTGCAATCTTCTTTAAGTCACCGTTTCATTGATCCAGAAAACAATGACCCACCTTCTCCATATACAAAAGAGCAGCTAGAAATTGCCAAGTGCTAACCTTGGTAAATGCACCAGAACAGATGTATATAATATAGTTAATCTTTTAATTTCTGTTTTATCTGCAGATTCAGGAATGGCTTTGTTTAAATTGCCAAACCCAGAGAGCAATATCAGGACAGCTTGGAGACATGGGCAAAATGCCACCTACACAGACAGGACCAAAGGCCTCTCCTATGCCTGTCCCTACAGAACAACCGTCTCAGAAACTAGCAATGCCTGCCCAAGTAAAAGTGAAAAAGAGGGAACAAGAAGAAAAAACAGAAGGTGAAAAAATCATTCCAGAAGAAGTGAAAGAAACACCTTTAGTTGAAAAAATTCCCCCTAAGGGAACCACAGATCAAATCCAGGAGGAGAGTAAACTAGAGAAAGACAAAACTTCAGCCCCTCAAGAAAAGAAGCCAACCCCTGACGACAAAAAGCCACTCGTAGAAGAAAAAAAGCCGCCTCTTGAAGAAACAAAGCCAACCCTTAAAGACAAAAGGCCAGCTCTTGAAGACAAAAAGTTACCCCCAGGAGCAAAAACATCAGCTCTAGAGGAGGAACAGAAATATGACTTACTTAAAACTCAAGTACAGATTGCTAAAGAAAAACCTGAAGGCAGAGTGGCTCCAGAGGCAGTGCAAGAAAAGAAACAACCACTGACCAAGATGGAAGATTTACCATCTGGTACACCTCAGAGTTTGTCTAAGAAAGATGATGGAATGACTCAAAAAATAAAAGAACAGCTACAGGCAACATGCTCGGCAAAGCCTGATCAGATGGAACCTAGGAAGGAAAAAACAGTAAGTTATGTTTTTTTCCTAACTTTGCAGATTTACCCCTATAATTTACTAATGTCCACCTAAGTACACTGAGTGCTTAATGGTAATTTTGTAAGTGAAAGCCTTCAATTAGTAGCGTTTTCAGAAAAATGTAACAGTTGTTTGCTAAAATGATGGACTTCGGCTTTCTGACAGCTTAATTAATTTAAATAAAGCATAGATATAACATTTATTAGCTTTTATGCTGATCAAATAATTTATAAAAATCTATGGAGTGATAAAGAAGGGTTTCATATAATTTTATTTTATTTTATTTTAATATTTATTTATTTGGTTGTGCTGAGTGTTAGCTGTGGCAGGCAGGCTCCTCAGTTGCAGCAGGTGGGCTCCTTAGTTGTGTTATGTGAACTCTTAGTTGCAGCATGCGTGTGGGATCTGTTCCCTGACCAGGGATCGAAACCGGGCCCCCTGCATTGGGACCGTGGAGTTCTATCCACTGCACCACCAGGGAAGCCCTCTTATAATTTTAAATGATTGCTTTTTCCTTCCACTATGAACATAAAATCAGTATCCTCCTTTAACATAAAATAATGTTTGTCTTGGAATTTCTGTTTACTTAGCCACTTGGTTAAGCAAGACTCAAGTTTCTTCTCGCTTGAAAGCTTTTTAAGGTGTGGTCAACCATAAAATGATTAAATAATTGTGATTTTAAAAAAAGAAGTATGGCTAAAATTCAGGAGAAACTTTTTTTTAAAGTTTATTTTAGTATTTAGTGTGAAATCAGTTTAATATATTTTGTTCAGTTTTATTCAGTGTGTTTAATATTGGAGGGTTATTTATTATCCAAGCATCATCTGGAATATATATTATTCTTTATATATTTTCTTTTTCTTTAGTGGAAACTTTTAAGGGTACCTCATCTTAACCTATATTTGCACGGGCAATAATACCATTTCTAGAGGAACTCTGAACTCTTTAGAGCTTCAAGAAATCTTATATCAGGCTGAATAATTTTAATTCACAGATGGCAGCAATGACTTGCAGGAAAACGAAATGATTCATTGGTATTAAAACTTAATATTAGAATTCTAATTAGAACTTTTAGTCCATCCCAACCCTGGTTCGGTTGTTGTATTGTTTACAGTTTTAACACATGGTTACTAGACTGTCTCTGGTATATAAGACCTCACTCATTAAATAAATCCTGATCTTCCTTTGTTATATGAGTTTATCCAACTCAGAGAAAGCAGATGCCTATGTATTCTCCATTCTAATGGCTGGATCTAGCTACCCCGCCACCACCACCTGCTGCTTCTCCCAGTTAACCACCTTGCAGAACTTGATGCTTTTTACCATTTCTCTCTTTGTGAAGCTTCATGACTCTTCCCTTTTTGTTCTATTCTTGTCTTTCTGATCACCCCTTATGAGTTCTACTTTGATTATCTCTATTACTTTCTCTTTTCCGATCGGTTCTTCTTTGAACTCTGTCTTCTTTCCTCTTAGGGGAGCCACATGAACATTTCCTAACTCTCCTTGTGCACCTTCTGCCCCTCTTGAGTGTTAGACCTACATTTTCAAATACTGAGTAGATCATTCCACTTCAGAAACTCACTGTAAACTGGAACTCAGTGTGTTCAAATCATATCCAACTCTCTATAGAAGCAGTTTCTGCTTAGCTCCTATTCCTAAGGACAGTATCCTAACGGCCTTCGTGACCTTTTACCAACGATTTGGGTAATCTAATTACTAGTCACTAGGCCTTCTCTTTTTCCCTTCTCCAGTATATAGTTATCAGATAATTATTTTCCAGAGTTCAGATAATTTAACTCTATCACTCAGATATTTCTAATGATCCTCTGTTGTTTGTTAAATATAATCTAAACAAGAAGTATCCAAATATTTTGTTAATGTACTTTATTTTATTTTACAAATGTGTCATTTTTAATAATTTCCTTTTACCACTACTTTTTCTTTTAACGAGTTCAATATGTGTATATATATTTATTTCTAAATTAAATCTATGCACTATTACTAACATATTATTTGCAATATAAACATTCACAGAAATGTGTAAGTCAGTGAAATAAGCTAAAATCACCATTTTTATTATATTTATTTAAATATATACATTTGGTCACAGTAAAATATGATTAATAATAGCATTTTAGAGAGAGCTTTGATTGACTGTGCTTCAGTGTTTGAAAATCTTGTTCTAAAATTTTATGATAGAGTTCTTTGAAATTGAGCTTAAGTTTATTTTGATGTTTTGACTTTTAGTTTTAATGACGCTCCATAACAAAAAAGCTAATCCACAGGATATACCAGAAATGAGAGAAGTGTATCAAAGGTTGTACTTGCCAAATCTTGCTACCTGTTTTCTAAGTTTGGAATTGAAAACTGTTTTTTTTAACTTGTGGAAATTCCAGAAATAAATGTTACTCTAACGTGATACCAATCATTTCCTCTTGCTAACTATCAGAAAATGTGGTGTTTTAAAATATGTTTTTTAACAAATGACTTTAAAACCCACTGCAGTTCTTCATCTGCAATGTTTATAAAAAGATTAAAGTATTCTGTTTAAAGTTTGTCTGAAAAGGCAGACATGACAACTTTTTTAAATGATATGTCATTTTATGTAGCATAATTACATGATGATTTCCAATTATCCATCTTCATTACCGGCTTACTTGTAACAGATGCAGTAAATGAATTTCACATGCACTGCTATCTATGTAACTTCACCTTTTTAAAAAACTAATTCCAATTAAAAGAGCCACTCCTCAGAATTTAATATACAGTTTTTTCATTTAAATATATATATATACCTTTTTAAACAAATCACTGAATATTGAGCCATTTGGTGGCTCACAGTAGTAATCCTTTAAGTATTTTATTATTGAAACAGAACTAGTGAATATTATAAACTGAGCATGTTAGAAATATCTGCATGTTGATTTTATTATTACCAAACCTTTTGCTACTTACTTTGTTCTAATGATTTTCCCCCGAACCTTCCACAGTTCTTTCTTTCTTTCCAGCAATATTGGCTGACAAAGAAATGTAGTTTAATTTGTCACCATATTGTTTCCATGGCAGAAAAATCAAGTTTCCCCAAATGTTATGTGACTTTTTTGTCTTTTACTATTAAATAAGACAGCTCCAAAGACGATTTTAAGTGTTTATTTCAATTCATTGAAAATGTGTGAAGTACTGGAATATTTATTTGCCAAAAATTCTAGAAGTTTGTGATAGTGTCTTAGGATGACTTGCTATAAGTAGCCTAAGCACATTATGTGTTTAGTCAAGGTTTGTTATTAGCAATAACATATGTAAGACAGATATCAAATGGTTTTCCTGGTAATGTCAAACTTTTTTGGCCAGTTTTGTGTCAGTTTTCTTTATTAATGTGTTTGTGTATGTCTTGCATTATTACTATTAACTTTGACACATGATTTTTTGGCAAGAATATTTTGTCTACCACTTACCTATTATAGGAACGTTGGCTTGGTTGGTTATATCTGTTTTAAAGAGGGGGAAACTAAATTTGTTGTGCCCAAGATCACATGGCTGGGAAGCAGCAAAGCTAAGATTATAGTCCTGTTCTGCCTATAAAGGCTGGGCTCCTAAACACTGCACAGAATGCTTCTTCCCTGTGACACCTTTAGGATGCTGCCTTTTTATTATTTTAAGTATTCATCTCCCTTAGCACCTTTCAGTTTGTGTGATTTTTTACTTTGTTTATATATTTATATTATTTTATTTATTCATTTATTTGTCATTTGCGTCATTCATATCGTTATAGTATACTGTTTACGTTTCTTTATTGCTACATCATTTTGTCTCTCCACTCATTCTTGTCTTTCAAAGTGTGTTAGTTGAATGGAATTAAAATTTATCCTGAAATATAATAAATATTTTGAAATGTACATTCTCCTTTTTTAGTTTAATATTTTAAAATTGTACGTCACTACAGAATTCTCTTTCTACCTATACACTTAAACAGAATACTGCTTGTCTACATTTGATATATTACATTGAAACGTTATAGCTCTCTTGATAAAAAAAAAATTTGAACATCCTTTAGCATAAACTTCTATTTATTGGTAAAATGACCCAGGGTTAGTATTCAAGTTATATATAGCCATGGTATCTAAAGGCAGCATAATTGTATAGGATGGAAAATGATGAGGTTTTCTGAAGTGAAAAGGATTCCCATGTATGTGGGACTATCCAGTTTTTATCTCCAGACCCAGTGAATTTATGGATTTAATCTTGTTTACAGTGCTTGGAACACTCAGACTAGCAATCCATTTGGACCCAAACATTGTATAAATGATTAAAGATTATTCATCTGTTGTTTTACTTTGGCCCATTAATATAAATGACTTGGGAGACATTAGGCAAAAACTTAATATTGCCTCCTTTCTTTGTACAGTCTTATATTTAACCAAGAATTCAGTTCATAACCCCAATGCTAGTTTTTAAAAACCTTTCGTTTTCCTTCAACATGGAAGGCTAAAAGTTTCAAAATCTGAGAAAGGGGCAGAACTAAGCTTGGCAGTACACAAGTGTCTTGGTACTAGAGAAGGCCTCAAGATATGACACCATGGGAAGGTTTCAAGCGGGTCTCAATTCATCACTGCCTCTCTCTGACTGGTCTTCAGGTCAATAAATGGCAGTGGAGTATTGGAAAGAAAAGAATTCTGTGCTTTCTGCTTTTGGTTAGTAAGTAAAAAATATGAATCTTGGTTTCTGAAAATTTTGAAGATTTGTTTCATATACACAGACTAGAAAGGCTCAAGTACCATAATTCTGTACATAGAGAAGACTGCAATATATACAAAAAAATAAAAGTCAGTGTAATAGAGTTGAATGCTAAATGTACTTAGGAAAATACAAGGAAAATGTGTTCATCAGGGAAAACGTGTTCCTGAAAAATAACATTGCTTTTTTTTCTTTTTTAAAGTGCTTAAATTATGGATCTTCCCACTCACTGCCTCAATCTAAGACGACAAACAAAATTCTCATGCAAGGGGTCTAGGCCTGTAATTTTATTCTTATGTAATAATTTTGGAGGTCATTCTAGGTTGTATTTGGACTACATGTAAAATATTAAATGGATAATTAATTCCAACTCCTATCTATTCAAATGAAGAAAATAATGCATAAATGAGAAAATTCAGTGATATTTAAACACATATGTATATATGTGTTATATATGTAATCTACGCATGTACTTTAGGAAGAATCATTTGAATCTATTTTATTAAATCTTAATATGTTACTAAATAGCTTAATATTTTTCTCAGAAATAAGCATACAACTACACATTTTTTTCAATTTAACATCTTTATTGGAGTATAATTGTTTTACAATGGTGTGTTAGTTTCTGCTGTATAACAAAGTGAATCAGCTCTATGTATACACATATCCCCATATCTCTTCCCTCTTGCATCTCCC